TGAGAAAGAATAAACTAGTTTTATTTAAGAAAGGACTTGTATCGCTAACGTATCGTCGTAAATAATTTTTACGGAAAATTAACAAACGTACAGAGACGTAACAATATCTATAAGATCAAGTAAAGTATATATTCTGTCGACATTATTTGAATAACGTTTATTTGATGAATTTTGATAAAAGGAGTGGGCTAATTAATCATCCAATTCGAATACAATGAGATGCACTGCTTTCGTAGTTGTAATAAAGTTATGGGCGATACGGAGTTTACCAATACCAATAATAGGTAGGCAAACAACGATTTATAGACATGCGGAACATGTTTGAATTTGAAGGGGGTGGGCAGCGACGATTGGGGACACCTAATTTGCTATGTTAACCATAACCATTCAATTCGAAACTGAATCAGTGACTTTTCCTGATAGCCATACAAAAGTTTCTAATCCCCTTTCAAAGGGAAACTTCGCTACCGGGGGGGGGGGGCACATGCTTCCGGCGCATATAGGTTTCCGCTGCTGTTGTATTATTGTCATGTCTATTTTTTTTTCCATTCAGCAAACTTTTATTCTGCAAACGTACACTTTGATATTGTAAACATGTTCACTTCTGCTGCGATTAATGAGGAAGCGTAAGCATCCAGCACCATTGTACTTGAACAGTTCTCTGATGAACAAACGGTGCGTCACAACGTATTCCTGCCATAGACATTTTCCTAATGCATCATCCTCCACGAATCATTCAGTTTTCAGACAATTTTGCGCGAATCGTGAATAACCCTATCTATGCATCACCTCGGTAATTCTAAACATCAGTACGAGATTTTTTAAGGAATAAAAAAGAGAGGTTCCATGTAAATTCAAGTAGAAAGAAATCCAAAATTTTACCTTCTATATGAGTATATAGAATCAAAAGTTCTGGAAGTTGATAATGATATATAATATATAGATATATTAGGTAAGTTATTAAATAGGATAAAAAAATCGATTTCAAGTATTAATATTCGTTGAAGTTTCTTTGGTTCTCAATTGTCTGCTTTACGAACAGAATGAGCACCAATTTTCGCTTTATTTTTTCTATCTATCTTTTATAACAATTTCTGTTTATTTGAAGTTAAGCACAAAGCAACCCAATGGGCTATCTGTGCTCTGCCCACCACGGGTATCGAAATCTGGATTCTAGCGTTGTAAGTCCGCAGACATATCGCTGTGCCACTGGGGGGGGGGGAATCTTTTATAACGAATGTTTGGAAATTACAGTTCCACAAATTATAAAGAAAAGATGAATTCTGTAAAGATTTAATGATAAAGAGCGGGTTGGTGAAAAATCACAGATTCTGTATTGCTGGAAAAATATATTAAGAATAAGATTTCTGTTTACGAGTCAATGACACGTTTCTTTCTCTAATTGTTTGTCACGTACAACCCCAGATTTCATCCTGGGATATTCATTGTTCTTTTTAATCTTTCCATTATAACATAAAATACTTGTTTTAGTTGAAGTTAAGCAAAAAGCTACACAATGGGCTGTCTGTGCTCTGCCCACCACGGGTATCGAAACCCGGGTTTTAGCGTCGTAAGTCCGCAGGCATACCGCTGTGCTACTGGGAGGCAAGAGAGAAGATACGAAATTAGTGTTACAATGTCGTTAAATCGTTTAAATAAATCTTCCTAAAAATAATTACAAAGTGTGTTTCCCATGAACATGCATGAACTGTTTATCAAATAGAACTCCTAAAATTAACAAAAATATTGTGCACAAATATTCAGTTCAACTCATATAACATACTTTGTATAATAGAAATGTAAAATAATACTATCTAAACATGAAACTCGGAAAAGTAATGATCTGTTAACGTAGTTAATTTATACTATTTAAAGTATGTAATAATATACTTTAATAGTTGAAATAGAGAATTATTCGGTCTTAATGGGAGAACTAAACTGAAACTGAAATCGCAAGAAGAAAGCAGTCAATGAGTATTAATTAACTAATACTTGAGTGATTCGATGTAAAAGGCTTAGCATTAAAAAGACGTTTGCTTTTAACAAGCTTCTATAACCATACCTTTTCTAATACAAAAACTCTTTGGTTCAGTTCTTCGTAACCTTGAACAAATCTCTGATATTCTGGATCATTCTGTAGATTTACTACAAACAAAAGACATAAACAGTGTTTCATGACATGTTCACAATAATGGACGTGTTGTTAAACCTAAGATTTTATTTTCTAATATAGTTATAAAATATTTTATTCTTCGAACTTACAGTTGCAAATTAAACTTTGAGAGCGAAACGAAATGAATAATCACAACAAGTTTATTGCACTTTCATTTATTATACTTTTGATTTCAAACTCGGCTAGGCTTAAAATTACAGATAAATGGGCTAATAAACTTGTAACGTGATATCAAACAATAAGATATAAGAGTCTTCTCAGTGATTAAATGGAAATTTTCTAATTGTACATCATATGTTTATTTCTATAGGCTCAATATTTTGCTTCCTCTATGAACGCTATCCTTCCGTTATTATCCAGTGTATAAAAGATAAAGCTTATTGTTATATTTTTTATTAGAGAGCTTTGTTTCCCCCAGAGAGCCAACGGCAAGGTTACAAACTTACAATGCTAAAGTCTGTGGAGATCGATTCCCCATGATGCACAGATCGCAATAGCTTATTGCGTAGTTTTGTGCTAAAACACATAAACACGTAGCTAGAGCTTTGTAATTAGCGACACCTGTTGTAGCCTAAAAGAGCTACTGAATGACAAAATATTAATCTCTGCACGTAAAATATTCTGTAATTTCACTGAATAAATGAGTAGAAAATGTGAATACATTTAGAATAGAAACAGGCTATATTCCTTCAAGGTAGAAATACTCTTTAAACAGCGATAAAAAAGGTAATATCACACAACAACGATAAAGAATGTAATATCACACAACAACGATAAAGAAGGTAATATCACACAACAACGATAAAGAATGTAAGATCACACAACAGCGATAAAGAAGGTAATATCACACAACAACGATAAAGAAGATAATATCACACAACAACGATAAAGAATGTAATATCACACAACAACGATAAAGAAGGTAATATCACACAACAACGATAAAGAAGATAATATCATACAACAACGATAAAGAAGGTAATATCACACAACAACGATAAAAAATGTAATATCACACAACAGCGATAAAGAAGGTAATATCACACAACAACGATAAAGAAGATAATATCACACAACAACGATAAAGAAGATAATCTGAGGGTTGCGGGTTCGAATCCCCGTCACACCAAACATGCTCGCCCTTTCAGCCGTAGGGGCGTTATAAAGTGACGGTCAATCCCACTATTCGTTGGTAAAAGAGTAGCCCAAGAGTTGGCGGTGGGTGGTGATGACTAGCTGCCTTCTCTCTAGTCTTACACTGCTAAATTAGGTACGGCTAGCGCAGATAACCCTCGTGTAGCTTTGTGCGAAATTCAAACCAAGAAGATAATATCACACAAAAGCGATAAAGAAGGTAATATCATCCAGGTTAAGTCGTAAGCACACAAGATCACCTACATAAGTTGTAATATTTTCAAAACGAGACCCAAAACTCGAGCGCTTTCGAATAGTCGACTTTTTTTCTTCAGGAGTATAAAGAGAAATAGTAAAGCGCTCGAGTTTTGGGTCTCATTTTGAAGGTAATATCATGATCTTCAAAAGAAGGATTTGTTTGTTTGTTTTTTGTTATGCACAAAGCTACACAAGGGCTATCTGTGCTCTGCCCACCACGGGTATCGAAACCCGGTTTTTAGCGTTGTAAGTCCGCAGACATACCGCTGTGCTACTGGGGGGCAATAAAACTAGCATGTTTGATAGGACGGGGATTCGAACCCGCGACCCTCAGATTGCGAGTCGAGCGCCCTAACCACCTGGCCATGCCGGGCCAGAAGCTTATTTATTTATTATTTGTGCTGTGCCTATCACGGGTATTGAAACCTCTTTTTTTTTTTTTTTTTTAGCGTTATAAGCCTTCAGACTTACCGGTGAGCTACCGGGGAGTCATAAAAGAGGGATACTATCAAAAATGAAGATTATAAGTCTCTGTTTAAAATGAAAGACAACAGCAAAATAATTAATTAACCTTTGATATTAATACGTTTTAGAATGCGCAATGTAAGAACTGTGTGACTGCTTCTATAAATCGTTTAAGAAGGTCGTTGTTTCGAAATTTTTCGTGCAAAGTCAAACAAGAGATATCTGTGCACAGTCCATGCGTAATTTTGAACTGATAAATTGGAAAGGCAGCCAGTCAACGGCATCCACCACTACTCTTGTTTTATCGAACAGTGGGATTTGATCTTTACTCTTTTAACGCACCTACGGCCTCAAACTGCGAAGTTCGTTTCGGCAACAGGACGCGGGCCATGAACACCAGGAGTTTACGGTCTGAGCACGCCAACCATTAAAACACGCCCATACACGTTTTACAAGAACAATTAACATATAACATACAGTCACACATATATAGGATAAAACAATAACTCTACATTTTATATGTATGTGCGAAGCGCTTTTTGTGTTTGACTTGATTATTTTGAATTATAGAAAAAAGAAATCAAGGAGCAAGATACTGTTGGGTTTCGCTTTTTTGTTTTTTTTAGAAGTGATAATGAGCACAGCTTATTGTTGTGTTATCTATATACGCAGATTGATAGATAGGTGTTGTGTTAGAAGAAATACACATCACTATAACTTTAATAGAGAGAAGGAATAAAAATACTTTACTTCTGCAAGATTTTGCATCTGACTGCAAGATAAACCCATTGTGACATTGGCAACTGTAGCTTCCTGGCGTGTTAACACAGTCCTGTTCACACCTTTTTCCTTTCTTAGAGCACTCGTCGACATCTAGTGCAAATAAACGAAGATATACCATGAATAATAAAATCCTCCGAGTCTGTAAAATATAGTGCAGATAAACGAAGATATATCATGAATAATATAAGAAAATCATAAGTATGTAAAATATAGTGCGGATAAACGAAGATATACCATGGATAAGATAAGAAAGTCCTAAGTATGTAAAATATAGTGTGGATAAACCAAGATATACTATGGATAATATAAGAAAGTCCTAATTATGTAAAATATAGTGCGGATAAACGAAGATATACAATGGATAATATAAGAAAATCCTAAGTATGTAAAATATAGTGCGGATAAACGAAGATATACAATGGATAATATAAGAAAATCCTAAGTATGTAAAATATAGTGCGGATAAACGAAGATATACCATGAATAATAAAATCCTACGAGTCTGCAGAATATAGCATTTTAATGATTTGGTAAAGAAGCAATAACTTCTTAATTAGTCGTCCAATGTAAACAAAAATTAAACTTCTTTCCCAAGGAATGGATAAAAGTGAAACAACCGTAGTAAACAACCATCTTCATGTGATTTGCAGGTTACGACGTGTTCCTTATTTCTCTAACATTTCAATCCTTAAAATAACCTGTAACATCATTATCTTATGACGTGTATTTTTGTTGTTGTTGTTTTGTAACAAAACCACATTGGTTTATCTACTGTGACCACCGCGGGATTCGAGCTCCGAGTTTTAGTGTTATAAATCGGTAGACTCACCGCTGTTCCACATGAGGTCATTTTGTATTGTTAGCTTAACATATCATATTAATACTAGCCAACATTTGCTAAGCTGGTCGAATTCGGAGATATCATCAGGTTTAGGCCTGGAAATATCGATAAAAGCTAAAGTAAGCAACTGATGACTCAAGGCATTTTAAAAGTATAGGTTTAGAGTTCTAGCCCGCAGAGTTTAATTACTTTTCACTACAAGTTATTGATGATAAAAGTATAAAAAAATTGTAAGACATATTGGTTTAAAGTTGAAATTATAATCGTTAAAAAATAACTTGTTTATATTGAACAGTGGATTTTATATGTTTGAAATGTAAGTACAGCGACATAAATTATGATCAGATTTAAGTAACGGTTTTAATTACGAAATCAAAAAATATCTGTCATAGCACAGTGTACTAGTTTATTTATACCTAAGAAAAATAACTATCTGATCAAAAATAGGCCACACGTAAATAAGAAATATCATAGAAAAATTACAGTCGATCGAAACATTTAACATAAAAAGACAGGCATAGAAAAGATTCATAATTGAAACACATGTTAAAATATTTTCCTCGTTTCTCATGTCCACAAAGTCAAGCAAACAAAAAGAAATCAGTAGAATTTGTATTTTACAAGTCATTTATTATTTATTTCTACTGGTCCCCCATAGAGTTGTCGCTAAGTTAGTGAATCTACGACACCAAAAACGTAAGGGCTAGATTATCTGTGGTTGACAGAACACAAATAGCCCATTATTTAGCTTTCCGCTACAATGGTTGTGCTCTTTATTATTTATTGTTTATCTGTTTGTTTGTT